TCAGTTGAAGATTAAATGGCCTTTTGATTATCTGGAGAGACACTGCCACGTGGCAGCGATTGCACTGACAGGCTTATTCTTCCTCTTCTCCGGTTCCCACCCACTTCTACTCACAGCTTCTTTGTACCATAAGGAAGCATCAGGAAAGCTGACATGAATTAACTAAAGATATGAAGCCCAACTAATACACTCATTCATGAACATTCATTTAGACAATGAAGCAAAATGAAGTCAGACTCTAATGTCGTTCATCTGAATTTAGCAGATGTCTACAAGACTTCAGCAACTAAATGTATACAATCTTTCTGCTTTCTATTTCAAAGCAAAGCTGCAGACCCCTTGGAATTGCACTTCTGCAAGCTTCCAGCCTCACACGAGGCGGAGGAGAGGGAATGTAAAATGAAGAAGTAAACACACATTGCAGCTGGAGGCTGCAAGCAATGTGCAACACGCACCTACCACACAAACCCCACTGGCCACCTCATCTGGGACTTCGCAACGCTTCCACTACAACAGAAGTGTACGTTTGACTTCATGTGGTCGTGCAGGAATTATTTAAATAAAGGCCTCTTCTACTACAAAATTTTGCACTGCTACCAAAGAAATAAAAAATCCTCAAAGTCTTGCTGTGAGGATTATCATTTACCTTCTTTAGTGGACAAAAACCTTCCATCAGCCTCTTCAGCTCTGTTACTGAGTAACTGAGAAGTTTCTCACAAATAGGTTTAAAATGAGCACATTTATTTCATTCCCCAAAGCAACTCCCTTTTACTCTGAAGACCAGCAACTCAAGATTTAACGTAAATTTAACATTCAAGCCAGTAAGTTATCCTGGCGAGTGCTCAGGGCATCCTGATAGTTCGCTTGGATGAGGGGCTGGATTTCTACAATTAATTCCTTATTTCAATCTTTGGACAGCTCCATCTGCAGTTGAGATCTTTATTGTTCATGACTGTTTGGGAAGCAGTGCACAAACACTGTCCCTTGCACCACATCCAGCTTTTTCTGTCCCTCCCCTACACACTTCAGTCTTGTCCTCAAAGTTCCTCCTCCACAAGTCTATACTTTGCCATTTAACATAAAACATGCACAGTAGAGAAGGCCACATAAAATGTAAACAGTTTAAAATCAGGACACTGCTCAGTCCTAATTATTTGCAGACTTTCTGTTCCCTTTTATGGGAACTGAATTCTTTCACAACAATATGCTGTTCTCTCTTTAGAGGAGATAAAAGATATTATGAATAATTCCTGCTCATTAGCAAAAGGGATTTAATTCCTTAAATTCAGAATTCCACTGCACATGACCAGGCAACAAATATATGTGTGTGTGTTTGTGTGTACATATACATATATATAAATATACTTCAGACTTATCTCTGAAATATCACCAGTGGATATTATTCTGAACTTTAAACCTTGGACCACGGCCTTGATCAGACTAGAGTATATGTGTGTATTTATATGTGTGTGCAATATGCACACAGGGATGCCAATCCTGCTTGAAAAGTTTTCCCTCAGAAACATCAGAATACTTTGGAATTTTTTTTTTTTTTTTTTAAATCTACCACCCTTCTTTAAGCCTCTTCTTTAGTGTGGCTACTCTCTGTACAATTTCCTTGGCTGCTGCTACTTAGAACACCTGGATTAAAAGTTTTATGAGTAGTTTGGGAAGACTAAAGGAACCTGATTCTTAAACAAATAAACAACACCCACACCAATGGACTAAGTGAGGGCTTCATATTTTTGTTTTCCATTAAAAGAGAGCCGTACATATTATTTTTTGATTAAACAGCCCTATGGAATTGTTTGTGTGGCCATGAAAAGCACCACCTGCACTTTCTAAAACAGTAAAGGCACATCTTAGTAAAACTGTAGCACCTGTGGCTCAGCAAAGCTGTCTAAAAAAACAAAAAAAAAAGAGAAAGAAAAAAGAGCCTATTAGAAGTGTGTGCTGCCCAGAAGCAAGTGCAAAGGCAGAACTTGCCAACCTCTGCCACCGTGGGGCACCAGCGCAAAGAAGGAGCAGGCAAGACACTGATTCTTCAGTCTCCAAACCAGTACCTTATTACTGCTTTGTCTCAAACTGACATCTTTACTTATGCTCAAAGAAAATTAATTCAAATTCACACTTTAGGTGAAAAAACAATCTGGCCTTTCAAAGCTGATACAGGGGCCCTTGATAATTAAACCAGCAAGCAGTCTGTTAACCCTGCCAGCATTTCAGCAGTGCTCATTTCCATGCACTAGCTTGGAGCCCAACGATAAAGCACCAACACCCCACCTGCTATCCCCACACTGCCTTACCCTCTGCAAGGAGGAGGTTACACGAGAGCCAGCGGCACAGCGGCCTCCTGGCTCCCTGGGATCCTCCTGCTGCACCCAGAGAGCCGCGACCCAACCCGAGGGGACCCTGAGACCTCTCCAAGTCTCAAGGTGCTGCACAGACCACAGCCGAGCCGGCAGGAAGGCTCCATCCTAGTACCTGTAGAGGCAGGGCAGAAATGCTGCATTTCCAAGAGACCCTGAAGGTGCCAGAGACCCACAGGCAACTCCCCAGTGGGGCTCTCTCTCCTTCACCCTCTACTGCAATTCACTTATCGCCTGCAGTCTCCAGGAAACACAGACTTTTTCTGGCAAGTTACCAGCATTACCAGAACTGGTAAGGAACACAGAGCAGCACAGGCACAGCCTGGGTATGAGTGCATACTCTCCCACCAGGAAAAATAAAACTACAAAGAGCTAAGAAATAATGCTATATCTGGAAGCAATGGCTTCTCTAAGCATTTCCTTGATGTTATGGAAGACTTGGTCTTAGCTGCTCTCTACACTACTGAGATGTGTGTATCCCTAACTGTGACCCTCAGAATTTCTCCCCAGTTCTTACCAGCCACTGGAGGCCTCTCATTTTTGTCAGTACCTCACACAGACAATGGCAAATCTTCAATGTCAACCCAGAACAAGCCTAGTCAGGACAACTCTAGAGAAATCAGCAAGTTCTCTGATGATGGACAGGGTTCAATACCAGCTCAGATGCCAGATCTGGAACAAGGTTCCTCCTTTTACCGACAGTGTCAAAGCAGAAGCAAGAACTGAGCAGCTTCATCCTGTCCCCTGGTGTACCCCATTCCCCGGAGGGAGCCCACGGAGCTGGGCTGCAGCCGGGGGCAGCGAGACCTCCACTGCAGCCTTGCCCCACAACCACCAGGCCGCTGTGTCCAAACCCTGGATGCCTGCTCCTCCTGATCCTCCACGCTGCACGCAGGCATCACGCTCAGGGTCCTACCTGCTTGGCATCATCAGCTTCTGCCATAGTTTGATGAAAGTACTGACTTCATCCTTCACTTCTGAAGGAGAAGGTTTACACTCTTAAAACTGCATGTCTGCGAATCTCTGCACCAAGTGCTCCAAACGTGCTCTTCCCAGGGATTTGGTTCATATGCCTGTCACCATGGTGCTTTCTATAGGCTCCTTGAAGAAGCTCCCCAGCTTTCAAGGACCCTGTTCTAAATACCCCATTCTCCTCCAGCACCATCCGCAAAACCTGGGTGCCACCAAGTCAGGTCCAGCTGGGTGGGAAGGTCCTCAGAAGTCAGTTACCTTCAAACAAAACAGCGCAGGGCTGGAGTTCACTTAGGAGCCATTCAGTTAGTCCTGGGAACCTAAGGAGTACAGCAAAGCCACGGGAACTGAACAGAAAAGGGATTGTATAGGAGCAACAGAAGCAGCAAACCACATGAAGAGCAGATTTCAAACGTTAACAAGACAGGCAACAGCATGTTTTGATCCTCAAAATGTCCACAGCTTAAATAGTATACAGTATTCCTTGGAACAGCAAAAACATCAGGAGCTCTCTGTTTCCTTAGCTCCTGTGAAACCCTCACCCAACTCTCACGAGATAAAGAACATATGGAATGTGAGTACTGACAAAGAGTGAGCAGCTCCACTATTTTAAAGCAACCAAGATCAGAAAGTGGATGCTAAAGGGAAGGATGTTAAAGGCCAGGTCAGAACAAGTCAGACTTTAAAGCTGACAACCTAGCTTGAACCAAATCCAAAGTACCCGTAAATGTTCAGGTTAAAAAGCCACATCTGTAACGTACCTCAGTTTCTGTAAAACTGGCAAAACTCCCAGAGCCTGCACTAGAACAAAACTTGGACAGATGGTTTTATTTTGCTGGATGGGAAAAGTTGAGGAGCAGTTAATTATACTACTCTGAGCAGGGTTTTAATGCGCCTGCTGCCTGCGCTCCCCAGGCTGAAGGACAGCGCTCGCCCAGTTAACATTTGTGTTAGCAGAACGGGTAACAAAAGTTCATGTTCTGCAGGCTTGGAAGTGCTAAGAAGCCTCCTATTTCAGAATTACGTCTGGTTCCACGACAACAAATAGAGGGCCAGAGAGCTCTAACAGCTCAAACATGACTGATGGGTCAAGTCCACCGCGCTGCGCTCTCCAGTGCAACTGGAATCTAAGAATAAAAAAAAAAATAAAAACCCAATCAAGGCTTCAAACAGATGAGCAGATCAAAGTCAGGTAAGAGCTTGTCAAGCCTTTTTAATCACAGAACTAATATGTTTGCATTTATTAATAAAATACTCCAGCACCACAAGATCCCCTTCCAAGTGTAAAAACTCTTCATTATGTCTTCTACCTATATTTAACCTACCTACACATCCTTACACAAAACAGAAGGATAGTGGCCAGAATGACAAAAAGCACCATTCATGAAGCTAGAAAGAAAACTCTTGCCCAGGATTCCTTCTATGCTGATGCAGAAGGAAAGTTTTAAGAATCAAGGTGTTTCTATATATCTTAAAAACAAGAGAGAGCAGGATCCTAAGCCTCGGTCTCTAGCAGTATTTTCCTACTTACTCAGAACAAATTATTACTCATATTACAGTAAGCAATGATTACCTCTTTCAGAGTAAAATATTATCCACCATTAAATATTAATATTCAATACTAAATATTAATTAAAATACATTTCACAGAACTATTACCTGGCAAAGAAGTTAGTGAAAGGTCCCAAGATTTTTAGCTTGCTCTCCACATTTGCCTCTTGGCAGCACTCCTGCTGGCTTTGGTCGCCGCTCTCTTTGGTGGGATTCAAGGTGACGTCCGAGAAGTGCGCGTCGTCGGTCTCGAGGGTCACAATGGCGCTGGAGCTGCTCGTGACCACAAAGTCCAGGATGTCCTCGTTGCTGACGGACAACGTTGTCGACAGCTCCGTGCTGAGGCTGGACACGCTGCAGACCGAGATGTCGTCGCTTCGACTCAGCGCTCTGGCAGTGGGGCTGTAAAGGCGGACGCTGTCGTAGCCCGTTCTGGGGAAGGTCGAGGATTTCCGCACGGGAGCCTCGGGCTCGGCAGCCAGGGGCTGCGGGGGCCCCAGGGAGGGCAGCGCGCACGCGCTCTGGAACGCTCTGTCGGGCACGATTTCGGGCTCCGACTGCTTCCTCTTCACATGGAGCACATTGCAGTGAACAGGCTCTGGATTTCCTATTTCCAGAGTGGGAATACCAGAATCCACGGATTTAAGGCTATGACAGTCTTCCAAAGCACTGCAGTGATGTCTAGGCTCGTATGTGGGCAACGAGAGGGACCGCGGCGCCCTGGAATTGTAGTTCGGAAGACTCTGGATACCATTGCCTGCTCTCGCATCCAAAATTCCCATGAAGCTCAAACCATTCAAGGAGTTGGATAAATTCACATCAGTTGTCTTGCACCAAGTGGTAACTGCTTAAAAAAAAACAGAACAAGATTATGAGCTCGTAAGGACACTATCTGTATAAATACACACACAAACACATATATAAACACACACGCTCAACTCCGCCATAAATTACGTTCTTTGAAGTCACTCATCTTCTCTTGCAGATAAAACTGCTATCTCTTCCTCCTGCCTTGAGCCAGCAGGACAAGGACAACTTAATCACAGCTTCTAGAAAACATGAGGCGTGAAAAGCCTTTCCTGAAGCCTTTCTTATTTTTTCTCATTTGCTTCATTAGCCTCTCTTGAAAGTAAAATTACTTAAAACTGCAGTACTTTAATCCTCCATATTTGTATTAAGATGAAGATTTGAAATGGCTTTTTTTTATATAGCCATGAATGTATATATATAGGTATGCTGAGGGATTATAAGGCTGCAAAATTTTGAAGGGTTCATCTAAACAGAATTTCTTAGTACTCTTCCTGAAACCATAAAAGTGATGGGAAACACATCCCTCAGACAGAACACACTGTATAAGAACTTTGGATCAAGCTACAGACGCAAAATCTGACCAGCAATTCAATTCCTACAGACAACTTCTGGACAATATATGGGACACTTTATTGGGACGTGCAGCATCAAACCGATGCTTAAAAATGTCGTATTTGCTGCTTACAGAGAGCACTGCAGTTCACACATGCCGCATTCATCCACATGCTCCCCACAGGCTGCCAACGGGGCAGCTGATCCAAAGTGTCCCATTTGGGGTCGGCACCTGCGTGGCCCTCCAGGAGCCGCAGACGAGATGCGGGTCCCGGCAGGGAATCCTCGGCCTTCCACACGCAAGGCCAGGGCCCTGCCGAGCCAGAGGGCAGTGCACGACCGGCGCCGGCCCCTCCGACCTGTGCCGGCCCCTCCACTCGGCTTCGGACACGGACAGCGGCTCGTCCACCCCCTACGCTGCCGTTCCCCAGCAATCATCTGCTGCAGGTGGCACAACACACCCAGGTTTGTCTTCTTCACGTAGAAACACTGCGTGCTAAGTGTGCAGGAGTGAAGAATACTCCTCTTCTCTTGCAAACCGTTTCCTTTCTGCACAGCTTTGCTCCCGACTCCTGATGCCGGCTCTCCGGGCTCCTGTGCTCACCCACCCGGGGGTAGCACTCAACGAAGAGGTGCCAGTTCTCTGGGAATGGGAGGTTTTATGCCCCATCTTTCCCAATTCACAGGAGCCATGTTTTGGGACTGGCTTTAAGACACACAAACACATTTCAAATACACCCCGTTTGCCTGAATCTTAAAGCTGTTTCTGCTGAGCTTCATGCTCATTGCATGAATCCATGCAGGCCACTGCACCACACCAACATGAATTGCATGAATCCACACTGTGCCACACCAGCCTCTTGGCCTACCGTGCAAAGCAGCCCTATCAGATCTTTCCCTCCGGTTCAACCCACACAAACATAGGAAAGAAAGACAAGTAAAAAACCTTCACTTTTTTTTTTCTAAGAAACTTTTAGATATTTTAAGACCTCTCCCATGCAAATCATTTGCTGCACAATTGTCTAGTCGTTCAGATAAGTGAGTTTCAAAGGTATTCTGCTTTGCCTAAACATTTGTGAATATGCACCCTTCTTCTTATAGAGTTGCTATAGCAACTTTTTTCTTTTTTGTATTACCCTGGTTTGAAAAGCTTACATGCTCTGCAGTTTAAAGATGGGACTTCTTGAGACAGCTATCATACATATTCCATGCATTAGCAACCTCTTTGGTCAGTGCATTAAAACTGCAATGGCCAACAAAAAACAAACAGAAAAAACTACATAACACTTCCGCAATACAAGCGACAAATTAACATACTTCAACTTGATTATGAGAGCTTAAGTATAAAAATATGATGTAATAGGAAGCATGAGCTATAATTATTGCTGCAAACATTTGCATCTCTTGCTCTTTGACCTTCCTCCCTGGATTCCCTTACTTCTCTATAGCAAGCCTGCCCGCTCTCCTTCCCTTACCCCTTACACACATTTACTGCTCCTTAAACGAGCTCCATCCAGCTCCAGTCCACACACACACATCCTAGAGAATTTTAAAAGCAGGGATTTGCTTGACCACAACTCTCACCTATTAACATATCTAGGAAATATAGTCCAGAAAATCAAGTTCAGAGTTTAAATAGCCAGGAACAACTTGGACAGACATGCCTACAAGGAGCGGGTCCACTGACCACCTTCCTTTCTGCTCAGTGCCTCCCCCAGGCAGCAGCCAGGCCTTAGCTCAGTCACAGGGCTCTTCTCAACAGGAACTACCAGCTGTTACCGTTGGAGTGGCCTTGGGAAGAGCCAGAAAACTGCAGCCCAAGAGGCCACAGAGCTTTGTAAACAGCAGAGCTCACAGGGAAACAAAAACGAATGCCCGGGCAGCGGAGCAAAACTTTGGAGTCAGCTCTGTCATTTTTCAGGTAGAAAATTTCACAGAAAAAGCTCCTTTAAAGGGGCAATCAGGAAGGACACGAGTCGGGAACAGCTAAGCCTGCCGCAGCAAATTGTGCAATAACCAACTACAAAGGTTTTACACAGTTCAGTGAAACCCTGGGTAGCTTTGAAGTATTCCCATCAAGGGCTCTACATGAAAGCTTGAGAGGCGATCAGCTGCTCCAAACACACACAGCTCCTTGATTCATTCCGCGTCAGGCTGCTGCAGGATTGTTCTTTAAAGGCAAAAAAAGTAAAGTGAGATTTAGCTTCCTAGACTTGCGTAGCAGCCTCGCTGGCAGAACATATGTCATAATTGTCAAATCTATGCAAGTGCTACACACTGTAATACTCCTTTCCATAAATCATTTATTAACATAACATTCTTGTAACGTTATTAGAGACACGAGCCTCACAAACCACTGAGTAAAATATTCTGACCATATCCGGGCACCTGAAACAAACTTTGACTTCCTAACCATGCAGAGGGAAGAAGTCATCATTGATCCTCATTTCTAACATATGGAATAAAATTTTATCCATTTTATTGTAATTTTAGAAGTAATGGAACAAAAACCAGAAAGAAGCCAATTGAAATCACAAGCTACAAATTTACTGTGGCTCACACTGCACCTTCGGCCAGGGACTTATTTAGAGGGAAAGGTTAGACAACTATTTACAAAAGAAGCAGATTTTTATCACCTTGTCTCTTCTACACTACTATTTCTGCCTGCAAACAAACAAACAAACAACGTATTTTTGAATTTTAGAGGCAGGAATTTCCTCATTACAAAGTTGCTGCATTTTCTTAATTTCAAAGTTGCTTTTCTTCTCACGGAGAAAAGACGCAACAAGGAAGGAAGCGGGCGGGTTTAAGCTCTCCACACACTTAATATTCTGCACCCTGCGTAGCAGGGAGCAGAGCAGGGAGCTGCTGCCAAGGGCCGCTGCAGCGACCTCGCACACGCACCAAACCCGCTCCATTTATCCGAGCGGCTCTGACTCCAGCTCGGCTTCCCTCACATTCTACCAGCCCCAGCATTTTCAGCAAGGACAACCTCCCTTCGGCCAGAAGGCAAAGCGGGAGATACAGCGATTAACACTACCTACGTGATCGCTGCCAAAAGCTTAACAGCGAAACGAAATTACCCGTTTTTTTCCAATAAGCAGCCGTTTATCTGACTCTCCGCCAGCTGCCTCCATAAGCAGGAGCCCCAGGAACCTGGCGCTCGAGCAGGGCGCTCGGAAGCCACCACAAGGGAGCTATTCAGGGTGTTTTTCCACTTTCTTTTTCTCGCCGAGCGGGCAGCGCGGGTGAGTCACGGGTCACGGCTCCTGTCCCGGCCCGGCGGCGGCGGGAGGCCAGGGGCGACACCGCGAGGGACCAGCTCGGGCCGGGGCCGCCAAGTTCCGAAAGGAGGCGGGTTGGAAGGAGCCTGTGGGAGGACTGAGGAAAGCGCTGCGACGCGCTCACCTGCGGCTCAGGGCTGAACATAACACTAATAAATTTAAAGGAAGGCAAAGAGGGGAGGAAAGGCAGAAGGAAAGCGGGGCTGGCGGCGCTTGCCGGGCGCCAGGGACGCGCGCCCCGCGCTCGCCTCCTCTAACTTTCTTGCAAGATGGTCGCGGCAGCGCGCGCGGAGGAGGCGCCGCC